GATGACAAAGCCTGCTGCCAGCTGGAGTGATCAATGGCCAGGTGTCACCTGGCTCAATAATTAACCAGCGGGTTGGGATATGTCCAAAGGGTGGGCAGGAAGAAAACACATGGGTCACAAAGGACTCAAGCCAAGAGAAGCCAGGAGGGACTGCCAGTCAAGAGAGGCCTTTTTCAGAGGCCCAGGCAGTGGACACACCACCCAGGAGAGGTCCTTTTTCCTTTCCTGGTGGATTTAGGGATAGCAGCAAGACTGAGAAAACAGGAGTCTGTCATAGGCACCTTTTGCCCAGTTTCAGACTACACAATCCTTTTGAGGGGACAAAGAAGGAGAATTCTAAGGCCCTGGGGACCCTCAAAGCCCACCAAGCTGGCACGAGCTGTCCGTTTGTGCATGAAGCATTTGCTAAATGTCTGCTAGAGTGTGATGTTACGATGCTGTATTTGAAAACAGGCAGATCTGGCTTCAAATCCAGGCATTGCTACTTGCCAGCTGCTGTGATCTTGGCTGAGCTAAGTTTCTCTAAGCCTTAGTTTCTACATCTATAGATGAGGATGTTAGAACCTCGCTTACAGGGCTATTATAGGATAGAATGCAATTGCATTTTTATAGACTGCCTCATACATACCAGTAAATAGTAAATAGCCTTCCATTCGATCTTGTTGACAGTCTTGGACAAGGAAGAGGAACAGACCGTGCCTGACTTCCTGTTACCCTTATATGGCTTCCTTTGTCTTAATCTTCCTGAAGTCCTGCAGAGTGCAGCATCCCTGGTCAGGTTCCTATTAGACATCTTTCTAATTCTATTCATACTTTATGACTAGATATTTATTTGTGATTGTTTTACTAATACCTGTCTCCTTCACTGACTCTTTTATTTACCATTTTTTCCTCAGTGTGTGGCAATCAATGGGGAAATGAATGAATAAATAAGGATGAGGCTCTTGCCTTCACAGACCTCACTAGATGCACACACATGAGGAGGACAAAATAGCAGAGTGACTGGGGGAAGACGTCTAAGACCTCAGAGCAGGGGTGGGGCCTGTGGACTAGAGAGGCTAAAGTCTAACTTGGGGTTCTCCCCTAGCCCTCCTCAAGGAATTCACTCGAAAACTCCCTGACCCAGCCTTCTCCACTGCCCCAATGCATAACCTCTTCTGACTCAGCCACCCAGTAGTGGAGCTGAGTCAGTATGGACTCTAGATGGTGCCATAGAGGTCAACCTGTGGGCTTTCCTGTGGTCCAGCCACTTCACCATGGGGCTTTCCAAGCTAGTGTGGTCCACTTGCTCCCTCAGCAGTCCCAGCATTCAGGAGCAGAGCCTGGTGACTCCCCTACCCCTCCTAGAGCCTGAAGAGGGAAACCAGCAAACAAAAGTGCTGCTGTGGCAGAGGAGGCCTTCACTGGGGCAGGGGACATGTGCTCACTGGGACATGTGGCCTTTTCTCTTCAGGGCTGCCTGGTCACTGCCCTCACCAAATGACTTTAGTGCCTTATTCAAGGGGTCTTTGGACACCCACCCAGGCCCTGCATCTAGTCCTGTCACCAACCCTTCTTGCCACGGCCCACAGTCTGCACGAGGTTAACCTCAGGCTTCTTCCTCGTCTCCTCTGATTCACTTTCCTGCCTCTGGCCGGATAGTGGTTTGGGGTTTGGCCGTGGTCTCTGCTTATATAGTCCAAGCCAGAGTTCCTGACCCTGCCTGCTCACCGGCACCCGTAGCAACTCAAGGCCACTTTCCCCTCTAGTCTTCTACCTGGCTCTTCTTGTCAGCCAGAAATCCCTGAGCTACAAGCTCTCTAACTGCTCATCCCTGTGGGAAGCACCCAGCTCTGCCACCTTCCTCTGAGAACAGCCAGGGCCTGGTAGCATGCTGGTCCCCCAGGGCTTGCCCAGAGGGGAGCTCTCTGTTTGGCTTGGGCACTGTTGGACCAGCTGGCAGGCACATTACCAGTACACATTTTATTCAGGGGCAGCCCTTTGGAGCCCACAAAGTGCTTTTGCGTTTGTCATTTCATTTGAACTGCAGTCCAGGTATACCTGGTTTGTACTTTTTTTTTTTTTTTTTTTTGAGACGGAGCCTCGCTCTGTTGCCCAGGCTGGAGTGCAATGGCGCGATCTCGGCTCACTGCAGCTTCTGTCTCCCGGGTTCAACTGATTCTCCTGCCTCAGCCTTCCGAGTAGCTGGGATTACAGGCGTGCACCACCACGCCCGGCAAATTTTTGTATTTTTAGTAGAGACGGGGTTCTACCATGTTGGTCAGGTTGGTCTTGAACTCCTGACCTCAGGTGATCCGCCTGCCTTGGCCTTCCAAAGTGCTGGGATTACAGGTGTGAGCCACCGTAGCCAGCCACCTGGTTTGTACTCTTAAACTAGTTCTACAGATGAGGAGAAACCTGAGGCTCAGAGAGTTTAAATACTTACTTAAGGTCAAACAGTAAGAGCCAATGAGAGATTCAAGTCAAGAACCTAAGTTCTGTTGGTTTTTGGGTTTTGATGTTTTTGAGACAGGGTCTTGCTTCATTTCCCAGGCTGAAGTGCAGTGATACGATCAGGGTTGACTGCAGACTCAACCTTCCGGCTCAAGCTATCCTCCAACCTCAGTCTCCCATGTAGCTGGGACTACTGGTGTGTGCCACCGCATCTAGCTAGTTTTTTGTTTGTAGAAATGGGGTCTCATTATGTTGTTCAGGCTGATCTCAAACTCCTGGGCTCAAGTGATCCTCTCACCTCAGTCCCCCTAAAGCGCTGGGGTTACAGGTGTAAGCCACCACCCTCAGCCAGTTCTCTGGTTCTCAATTCAAAGCGAATATTGCTGTATAGGTACGATGCTTCCCAAGCAGCCCCTGCAGCACATGAAGCCCAGGAAAGGCCTGCTGAGATTCTCAGCTCTTTCTGGGGGTTCCGGAAAGGCAGCTAAGGGGAAGGGATCTTTTGCTCCCCTCATCACCAATCCTTGCTTAGAGGCTTTGAAGTGTACATTCCATCCACCACCGCCCAGTGATCAGGAAGGGCTCTAACCTAGCCCCATCTCTGTCAGAAGCCAGGAAGACTCCTCTGCTGAAGATCCTTCTGCGTGGCCATTGAACAGTAGTTATTAGATACTACTCTCATTTGCTAATACCAATAAGGCCTCTAGAAAAGGCCACCCATTACATCTGGTCAGAATTTGCATTATGATGCCTCTGTTCATGCTTTCAGTATTAACCTTTGGCACACAATTACCGAGCACCTACCGAGTGCCAGATACTCTTAGGCACTAAGGCACTAGGTGCACGTCCCCCTTTAATGAAAGGAGGGATGTAGCAGTGTCTGCCACTGACCATGGCCTGGTGGGACTGACAGACAAACAGGCTCCAAATTCCAAATCTGGAGAAGCACAGGTGGGGAAGGAATTGAACCTGGGTAGGCCTCAGGAGCTCGAGTCAGGCTGGGAAGGCTTCTCAGAGGGGCCTTGAACAATAAAATGTTAAGTTTCTTCAAAAATCTTTTCTGTAGCTCTTTTGATAGAAAGGGAAGAGCCATCTTAAGGGAAATGATAAGGGACAGGGTGGTAGGGGTGAGGGCACAGAAAGGGGTGACTGAGACGCCTGAACACTTAGCCCCTGGTCAAATTTGCTTGATGCCAATCTTGGCCCTGTATCCTTGGTCCCTAAGTCCAAGGACCTAATCTCTGGGGTAGCGCTATCCAGTAGAATTTCTGGAATGATGCAAATGTTGTATTTCTGTGCTGTCCAACATGGTAGCCACATGTAGTTACAGAGCCCTTGAAATGTGGATAGTATAGCTAAGGAACTGAATGTTTACTTTTATTTCATTCTAATTAATTTAAACTTAAATAGCCATCTTACCTGACAGTGCAGCTCTAGATACTTCTTATCCTGGATCACAGTGGAATCACCTGAGATGTCTTTTAAAAAGTTTTGACACCTGGTGCCTGAGCCTCGCCCCTAAGATTCGATTTCATTGATCTAGGGTGGGGCTCAGGGGATCAGATTTTTTTTTTTTTTTTAAAACAACCCAGGTGATTCTCCTGGAAGCCAGCGTTGGGAACCACTAATCCAAAGCTGTCTACCACACCCTCAGGGATTGAGAGGCCCCTCTTGTCATAGCTTTGCCCAGGGTGTATGTTTGGGCCTTCAACTCCTCTGGCCCTGCCTAATACCCCTCTCCCCACGGAAAGCCACACCCTCAGTCTCCTCTCCAGCTCCAGTAGGAAGGTCAAGCCCGAACGAGGGCCCTCACACAGACTCCTGGCTCTCCCCCACTAAACACATTCACTTCGCAGCCTGGAAACAGGACTCATTCATCTCAGAGCCTGCAAGGACCTAGCCAGCTCCCTCTGCCCTGGTCAGCAGGGCTCAACGGTCAAGGAGCCTTATCCTCACAGGCCCCCGGGGTCCTTGGACAGAGCCCAACCAGCCATTTTCCTAGGCTGGGCAGGAGCAGGGGCCGGTGACCAGGCCTGGGGTTTGGCCACTTTCTGCCCAATACGACCAGATATGCAGATGAATGTGTTTGGGACAGCAATAATACAGGAGGTCGGCCAGGCGCATTGGCTCAAGCCTGTAATCCCAGCACTTTGGGAGGCCAAGACGGGCGGATCACGAGGTCAGGAGATCGAGACCATCGTGGCTAACACGGTGAAACCCCGTCTCTACTAAAAAATACAAAAAACTAGCCAGGCGAGGTGGCCGGCGCCTGTAGTCCCAGCTACTCGGGAGGCTGAGGCAGGAGAATGGCGTAAACCTGGGAGGCGGAAGTTGCAGTGAGCTGAGATCTGGCCACTGCACTCCAGCCTGGGCGACAGAGCGAGACTCCGTCTCAAAAAAAAAATACAGGAGGTTTTGGTAACAAGACTGAAACTTGGAGAGAACCTTCCTCCCCTGTGTTTTGTGGAAAAAGGTTCTCTGAGCTGGGGTTCATCCAGCAACTGCTGCCCACCCACCCTGATGTTTGCCACCCACACCCCAAAAGCAACTTTCCCACGACTCACATGGCAGCTTGTGCACTTCTTTTATTATTAAATATATAAGCAGCTTCCTATCTTTTAAATAGATATTTAAATGACTTTATATAAAATAATTCACCACTTCCAAGTATAAAAACAAAATCTCACAGTGCGTGAGCCAATGTCCTCTCTCGACTTCTCAGAGAACAGAAGGGGTTCCTGAGCAGGTAGCCTGGGGGGACACCAGAGGCGGCTCTGGGGCTCCTCCTGCTCTGATGCCACCAAGTGCTCACAAAGAGCTTCTGCAGTGGGTTGGATTGCTTTTTTGACCTTTAAAATATTATATGTTTAAGGTAGGGGGATGAAGGGGGAATGCCTTTTTTTTTGTTTTTTTTTCTTCCATTTTAAAATATGTGTTTTCTAGCATCAAATATAGAGGCTGTGACTAGAAGGCTAAGCCCCATATGCAAGTTCACTGCCCTTCCCTTAGCTGTCAGCATCAGGACAGGGGAGGTGGGGCCAGCAGACCCTCACTTTCCTGGGCAGGAAGAGAAAGTCACGAGCCCAGTGGCCAGGCAGGGTGGGGTCTCTCAGTGGAGGACCCAGGGCAGCAGGAGAGGAGGCACACAGCAGCACAAAGGAACCCAGGGGCAACTGGCAGCCCTGTCGCCTGTTACCTAGGCCTCAGAGCCACCACCACGGGCTGGCCACGAAGTGGAGGCCCTCCAAGCATTGGAAGCTGAGGCCTGGCTCTCCTGATTGCTCTTCCACCCTGGCTTGCCTGGTTAGAGGTGATGGTAGACGGGTGGGTGAGTGATGGAGGTTATCACTGCCAACCAAGGTCAGGAGGAAAGAAGGGTGAGAAGTGGATGGGAGCTGGGTGCCATGCAGGTGGGGCTGAGATGCAGCCCAGCCCACGGCTCCTGACAGTGATAACCTGCTCAGCTCCAGGTTCCTGTCAGCAGCAGGGAAAGGACACTGGGCTGGGGTTTGGGAGTGCAGACCCTCCCCCAACCTCAGGGGCATACCTATATTTCAAAGGCCCATCTTCAGTCAGAGCTCGCCCTGCAGCCTCTCTGTCTGTGCCCTCCCCTCCCTGGCTCTCTCCCACTAGTTCCTTCCCTCTTGGGAATGTCAAAGTGCAAGATGCAGAAACCTGGGCGAACAACACAGCCTAAAGACCGGCTCTGGCTGGCAGCCCAGGAGGTTCTCCCACCCCGCTCCACCCCGGGGAGTCAAAGGCCAGGTCAGGAGAAGGTCAGGGCTGAGGGGCTCCCTCAGTCGACTGGTGAGGCCAGCTCAGTGCAGGAGGCTGGGGAGAGGCTGGAGAGTGGAGGACGGATGGATGCTGGCTCATGGATGGACGGGGGCAGGCTGTTCAGCAGGCTGGTACAGTGTTCACAGTGCAATGGCTTCCTTCATGAGGGGAGCCTCTGCTTGGCCTCCCGGAAAAACTCTGGCAGGTGCTGGAAGGAGGAGAGGCAGAGGCCAGTGCTTGATCCCCCTCTTGGCATCACTCACTGGCAGGTCGGGCCGGTCCTGAGGGCAGGGCTGGCCTCCCCTCTGTGCCTGGCAACCAGCACAGGGCACTTGGGTGAGCTGAGGGTGTAGACCCTTCAGGCTGTCAGTGCAGACCAGCAGGTCCAGAGGCCTCCTCTTCCCGTCTCTCAGGCTGACACCTTTACGGGAAATCAAGCCGACGCCGTCCCGCCCTGTGAACTTCAGGCTCCTCTCTCTGGAGACAGGTCCATGCCTGTCCAGGCTGGGATCCCTTGGCACCAGGCGGGCCCTCTGGGTGCAGGGTTCTTTCACTTCTCAATGTCCACCCTACTTTCCCACAAACCACAGGCTGATGGGTCCCTGGCCTGGGTGCTGGCATGGAGGGGAGGGAGAGGAGGGTGCAGCCCCTGAGGAAAGAGGGTCCTGAGCCGGGCTCGCCGGCCTTCCTCAAGCACATGGGAGCCTCCAGGGCTCACAATAAATAGTGGCAGCATGGGGAGCATCCTCTGGCCTCTCTCAGTCAATGGTCTGCGGGTTGAGACAGAGGGGCCCTAGCCTGGCTGCTCTGGTCCGGTCCTCTGGTGGAGGGCAGACCACATTCCAGGAGGATGGCCGGGGAGGGGTGGTGGTGGACGCCCCATAATGTCTCCTCCCACGGAGAGACTGTCCTGTGCGTCCAGCTGTGGGAGAGAAGGAAAGGCTAGTCAGCAGAGTGGGAGTGCGGGGAGGGTCGTTGAGGACATGGGTTGGGAGGTGTGGCATTCCTGTGGGCTGTTGGCGGTGTTGCAGGCGGGACTTCCTTTCCTCCCTTCCCTAGCCTTTCCAGACACCACAGAGAGAGCAGGCGGCTTTCTCTGGCACCAGCCCAGGCCTCTGGCCAAACTGGCCTCACCTCCTATCTCCTCCTGGGGAATCAGGGCCTCAGTGGAAGATAACAGGGCCCAGGAGAGGTCTGGTCAAGGCTGGGAAGAGGGGTTACTCCTCAAGCAGAGGGCTCTGATGAGGAGCGAAGCGGGCACTTGAATGTCTTTGGACCCCTCCTCAGGCAAGGTCATCTCATTGGTCTTGGCCCAGTGAACAAAAGGTGATTTCTGCTAACACTAGCAAAGAAGAATCTTTCATTTCCATCTCCACAGCATTCATCAGAGGGCATCACATATGATGTTCAAGACAGTCGGGCAGAGCTAGCTGAAGAGGAAGAACTTGGGCCAGAGAGGAAAAGTCTAGAGGTAGTGCCGGGACAAGGAAATTCCCACACTGCCATTTGGCATGCTGACCCCTAAGCAACCCAGCCCCTCCTGGATGGGCCGAGGGCCTTGCCTCCTGCATCATCCATGGGAGTCAAGGCCTTGCCCTCTCCTGCTCCACCCCCATCCTTGTCCCCTTGCCCAGCATCCTCAGGACGCTTTGTTCCCAGAGCAGAAATCCCCTGGACCCCATCCAACAGTTTGACTTTGGACCTTGTGTGAAGCCTCCCTCCCTAACATCCATAGGCCCTACTGGGTAAGGAGGGAAGATGGAACCACAGCCTCTGGCTCCTTGCCCATTCCCATGCTCTAGAGGGAAAGAAGGGGAACCATAAACTGGACATGAGCCATGATGGGTACAGCCAGGCCACAGGCCCAGCTAAGGCCCAGGAGGGGAGAAGGACCCAGTGGGCAAGTTCTAGCCTGCTGCCCCATCTCCTAGCTGCTTAGGGCTGAGGTGCTGGTGTCTGCATTTTCTGTGGCTCTGAGTCCCTATCTCAGTCTCTGCCTCTATGTTTCCCTCTCTCACTTCTTCCATCAGAGCAGCAGTCAGTCTAGGGGCTGGCACTCAATCTCTCCAAGGCCACTGGTGCCTGGCCTGGAGACCACCTTAGGGTTGGACCTGCTGGGCCAAGTGGGATCTGGATGTAGCCCCTTGCCCCGGGTTCCCTCTCCAAGTGAAATCTTGAAGGGAGGAAACTGAAAGCTTGGGACGGGCCTGAGAATAAGCAAGTGGGGAAAGGAGGGTGGGCATGTAGAGGGATGGGACAGAGGGCCAAGACCACGGCAAGGGGCTTGGGGGACAGGCGACCAGTGGGAAGGGTGTCGTGGCACTGAGCCACCAGCCACCAGTTCTGAGGAGGCCTGGGTCATTTCACAGTCTCGCCAGTGCCCCAGTTGACCCACTCACCCATCTTAGCCCACCCCACTGACAAGGTAGACCCCAGGATTCTAGATATGTTGTTACTGCTGGCTCTTGTCTAAATAGGTTCCCTGGTTTTGAGCATTTGCCAAATTCCCTATCTCTCTAGAAGGGGCCCAGACCTGTCACTCCACACATGGGAGAGCCCTGCAGCGCTGGCTTGCACTTGGTAAAGAGTGTGACTAGAAACTTGACTCGGCCACCCCAGCTAGTCAGCCAACCAGTCAATTAGTCAGGAAATCAGCTAGTCAGTTGCTCAATGGGCTCCCCAAGCAACAGCTGGCCAGTTACCAAGATAGTTGGTTGGTTAGTCATTCACCCAGCCAGCTGGTCAGCCAGTCAGTCAGAGTCAGTCAGTTAGCTGGTTAACTGGTCAGCTAGAGGCTGGTCAGTTAGAGACAGCTGGCCAGGGTCAGTCCATGAGTCAGCCCTGAAGCCAGTCAGTCAATATTTATTTCATGTTTGGCAAATGTGGAGAGGCCCTCTCTGTAGTAGAACCCAGGATGGAAAAAGAAACACAAAAAAAGTGGAAGACAGTTCCTGCCCTCAAGGGGCTTACAATCTTAGGGATGTGGAATGTACACATACATATAAAATAAGATTTTAAAAAATATGAAAACAACATCCAAATAAGTGCAAATTGATATACTATTAGCCAAATACAAAAGAGCAGGAGGGGCATGACTGAAAGAAGCAGTCAGAAGGTTGTAGAGAAGCCAGGAAGGCTTCCTGATGGGCTGGCTGTGGGCTTGGGTGGGAGGGGGAAGACGTGCGCCAGCTGGGGTTGGGGGGGCCAGAGGTGAGGAACAATAGGGTCACAGCTACATCAACAACATGGGCAAGGACAACAACAGGCACTCATCAATGTGCAGGAGCCACAAAAGGGAGGGCTACAGAGACGACAGAATTAGGATTTCAAACAACTTCAATAGGTTCAGGTGATTGGCAGAAACCAACAAGGTGGCTTTAGCAAAGGTGAATATAAACTGCACTTTGGTTAAAAAAGTTAAGTTGTCCAAGTACAGGGTAGAGATGGTCTGGCTTGACAGAGTTTTATGGGAAACGGAACTAGGGGTTTTAATAGACCACAAGCTCAACATATGACAACAGTATGATGCAGTTGTTAAGAAAAAAACTAATGCAATCTTAATCTGCACAAATAGAAGAATACTGTCCATATCAAGGAAGGTAACAGTCCCACTGTACTCTCTCTGAGCTGGTCAGACATCTGGAGTACTGTGTCCGGGGCTGGGCGCCACATTTTCAGAGGGACATTGACAAACGAGTGTGTCCAGGATGGTGAGGGGTCTGAAAACCATATCATATAAGGAACGTTTGAGGGACTTGGCCATTCTTAGCTTAGAGAATTCTCAAAGGGGACATGGATACCTGACTTGAAATCTCTGAGGGCTTTCATGAGAACAGGAGGGAGGAGCAGTATGGAGGGGGCAGGGAAGCCAGTTTTGCCTCGCATGAGGAAGACGTTTCTCCCAGTCTGACTGGAAGATGGCACGGGCTGTGGCTAGGCAGGGAGCTGGCTTGGAACTGGGAGTGTGTGACAGTCAGCTGGCTGGCTGCCTGTTGGGGACATGGAGAGGGGCAGTCCCTTTGGGGTGTGACCCAGGGCCAAATGACCCCTGAGAGCCCTTCCAAGACTCAGGTTCTATGTCAACATGATCCTAAAAGCAAGGAAGCAGAACTGTCCTCGGCTGGTGAGGAGGGTCAACTGGTGGTGTGGGGGCGATCTGGCAAGCAGCTGCTGTTGGAGGGTCTTGGCAGCCAAGCCAAGAATATAGGGCTTGCAGTGGCTGCCACACAGAGCTACTGAAGATTCCTCAGGTGGGTAAAGACCTTATAAAGGCCACATACGAAGAAGGGGGGTTTAGCTGCTCTGAGGTCAAAGATGGCAGCAACACTAGAAGCCCAGTGCAGAGGTAATAGTCCCTGGCCTCAGCGGCAGTGGATGGAATGGAGGGGCAGGGGGATAGCTGAGGACCTGGAAAGGAGATGGTGGCTGGACCTGGCTGGCAATGTATAGAAAGGGAACTGGAGAGAGGCAAGGGAGTCAGTGTGGGGGTCTCAGGGGAATTGGTGTCACCAACAGGTGAGGGTGACTGGAAAAGGGTATAGCTAAGTTTTAGGAGTGGAGATCAAAATCAGAATCTTACCTTAGAATTCCCTCTACACTGGCAGTTCCACCTGTCTGTCCTCATCCTGAGTCAGGGGGCTGTAGGCAGAGCACAGCACTGGCATTAGACATCAGCAGGAGCAGGGGAGTAAGGGGACCCCGTAAGTTTACCCCTAAGCCCCACACATGCTCTAGGCCCTCTCAGACTGAAAAATCCCAGAACCATCTAACTCTACGGAGAAATGAGGAAAAAGCCCAGATATCTGGGAAAGGAGAGAAGACCGTCTCTACCCCATCCTGTTCTGCAGCTCCATTTCCTCAGAGCAAGCAGGAGAGCCCCACCACCACGAAGAGGGGAAACAGATTCCAAGCCAGGCCCCCAGTGCCTCCCAGAACCCCACCTCAAGCTCTCACCTGCCTTCTGGCTGCTCCAAGGGAGAATCCGCTCTCTGAGGCTCTTGACGGCTCTGAGGACAGGAAAGAGCATCTCACTGAGGAGCTGGGGGAGGGTGGGGGGACGGTGGCCCCATCCCCAGTAAGGGCTGCCCCAGGTATTTATGAGAGAGTTGCAAGAGTCCTCCCAGCTTCCCAAAAGTGGGGATCAGCCAGAGGCCCAAGGGAGATTTGTGAGGTCTCTCTGCTGATGGTGTTCCCTCTCCTCTCCCCAGGCCCTTGCAGGCTGCTCCCTATCGGTTCTCCTGTCCCAGGCTCTGCAGAACTCCCAGTGTACGCCCGCCCTGACACACTCACACAGCATTGCTCCCCTCCTCCAGCTCCCTGCCTGTCTGGATGTCATCCTGCTGTCAGCCCAAGAATATTCTCTCCCGCTCCCTTCTGCTCCACTCCCTTCCCATTGACCTTATAGCTTGAGCCTTCCCAATTCTCGAAGCAATCCTCAATTTCCACCTCTCATCCTCTGTGCTGAGCCAGCCCCTATCTCTCTGCGTCTGAAGAACTCAGGCCACAACCGAGCTGTCCCCCTCATCTGCACCCCCGCCAGGCTCTGCCCCTGCCCTAAGGGACGCCCTCTTCTTCCTCATGGGGATCTGCTCACCCGCCGCCTCCGCCTGTAGAACAAGAGGCCTCCGACGGCCAGCAAGACCAGGATGACACTGGGCACCAGCAGGTGGAAGACAGACTCCTGGAGCTGCGGGCTGGAGGATCCCTCGCGCTGCCTCTCATGGCCTGTGTCAGTCAAAGGAACGGAGTTAAAACGGGCCAGGGGCCCAGCTGCCCCTTCACTTGCTGGTCCTCCTTCCGGCTCTGCGGGGCTCCTCCGATCCCTGGTGCTCCTCCTGCCCTCCAGCTCCCCAAGGGGCAGCACGCTGCCCGAGGAGTGGCTTCTGGAAAGCTGTGGCTGAGCAGAGAGGGTGGAGGGGTTGCTGAGGCCTTGGGGGCGTGGTGGTGAGGTCCTGGGAGAGCCTGGCTCCGGGGGGTCTCTCAGCAGGGCAGATGGATGGTCTGTCTTCTGGGGGGTGTGATTCCAGTCCTGGCCAGTGGGCCTCATGGGGCCCACCCTGGGCAAAGCGGTACCGGTTACATCTGCTAGCTGTTGGCCCTTTGCTGATGCAGGGAGTGGAGAAGATGCTGAGAGGAAGTTGCTGGGTTTGGCGGGCTCTGTCTGCATGCTGCCCCCTCCTGGCCTGGAGGGGTAAAGCTCTGTCCCTTGGGACACGGGAATCTCACTGGCCTCTCCAGAGGCTTCTTCTGGGGCCCAGTTAGTGCCCATTGCCGAATCAAGAATATCCTCCATCCCGGTGTTGAAGGCCCCGACAGAGGGGCGAGGCTGTGGTGAGCCACCGATGGTGCTGTCCTTGACAACCGGGGTCTCTGGCGGCTCAAGGCTCTGGCAGGTGCTCCTGGGTGGTCGCTGCTTGGCACTGCCTGGATCCACTGTGCGCAGGGGCTGCTCACCAGGCAAGAGGGAGCTGCTCTCAGTTCCCTCAGAGTCATCCCAGGTCAAGCCAGCCATAGGGGCCATGGAGGGGGCGAGGGGTTGATGAGGGGAGACAGAGGCCGGGTCACTGCTAGGGATGGCTTTGGGGTACAGGCAGTTGCAATCAGGCTTGGTCACCACATCTGAAAGAACCATAGAGAGAGGGAGAGAGAAAGATGGGGAGGAGATAGAGTCACTAGCCTCCAGCACAGCTTTCCTAGAGCGGGGCAAGAGGGGAATATGAGTCTGGGGGACCCTCATCTCCTAGCTCAGCCCTGGAGCTGAGAAGAGGATGGGACTAGAGTGGGTGCTCATGACACAGGGAAGGTGCCATATGCAGGGTCTTATGGGCAGTGACAAAGAACAGGGTTGAGATGTACACACTGGGGGTAGGGGAGAAGGAAGATAAGAGAACAGCCCATGCAGGGGTACCCACTGGCCACAGGCCAAGTTAGGGGTGAGCAGCAGCCAGGTCAGGAGGTTGAACAGTTGCCTTCCAGACCAACACAAGACAACTTCAAGCCCCAAAGACACTGGTTTCATGCATAGCCAGGAGCCACACAGCCACAGCCACAGCCCCAGGCAGGAACAAGCTGGGGCTAGAATGCAGCCAAGTCTTGAAGCCTTGGGATTGAAGCAATGAGACCAGACTTGGCCACTGGCAGGTTGCAGGGCCCTAGACCCTGCCTTGGGAAGCAAGGTTGAATGTAGGAGGGCATGTGTGGCACGAGACGCAGAGACGAGGACACGCAGTGTACACATGTATGCAGCTGAGCCAGCCCTGGGAGTTCCAATGATGCTCAGACTTCAAATCCAGCCTTGTCCCTTGAGGGAACGCCCAAGGCATCCTGGGGACTTCGGGAGCCAGGGTATCATGGTGATTCGCAGCAGAGCTCCTGGAGCAAGGGCCCTGACTCCCAGATGGGTGTCAGTTGTCTCCACAGAACCCCCCACATGTTCAGTCAGCCTGCAGAGCCAGTGGGGAAAGCTTCCATACCTACAGGGCTCCCAAGACAGGCTCCCATTTCCACTCTCTAATCCCAAGGCACCAGCATGATCCTTCTTGACGCTGCCACATGCAGACATAAGTAGGTGTGCATGCACACACATATCAGAAAAGACATGTGCCCAGGACCAGAGGCACGTGAAGCCACATATGTACACGGAACAAGCACATTCATGCATACAGGAACACAAGTAGCAGCCAGGCTGCCTCCCCAGGGGTCCCCCCAGCTTCACATCTCACCTCCCAATCCCCGTTCCATATGCCACCACCCCCACACACTTCCTGGCCCCTGCCATGCTTACCTTGGCCGGAGCATTCAGCAAAGCTGTTGTTGCAGTTCTTGCTGAAAATATTCCAGTCCTTGTCAAGAAGATTCTTTGTTTCATTAAAGACATTCTTGACCTTCTCCAGCAACTGGAGAGGTGTCTCATAGAAAGTTCGGACGCAGGCCTGGAAGGAGATCAGGGCCCCCTTTTGTGAGCATGACCATTGGCCCCATGTCTCCGTCTTGTTTGTCAAATTCCCTTGGCCTTTCTCACATCTGTCTTCTTTTTCCCTTTTGTTTCCTCCCTCCCCTTTCCCCTGGTTTGCAGCAGAATGAGTCCTGAGGTTATGAGATATGTCATTTATTCACCGACCCATTCGACACATGTTTATGTGCCAGGCATATGGTAATTACCTGGGAATCACGCAATGAACAAGAGAGAGGTGGTTCCTGGCTGAGTTGGACACTGAGTCCAGCAGGGACTAAACACATTGTTACAAGTGCAATGAGTCCTGTGAAGAAGTACTGGGTCATCCGATGGTGTGCAACAAGGGAAACGAAACAAGTGTTCAGGGAGAATTTCCCCAAGGAATCAACTAAAAGATGAGCAAGAGTTAACCAGGAAAGAGATGGGATTCCAGAGAGCTGTCCAGGCTGCAAGAACAGACTGTGCAAAGGTCCTGAGGCAAGAAAATGCATGAAAGGTCCAAAGACTAAAAGAAGGCTGGCGTGGCTGCAGCACTACCATCTAGGAGGAGCATGGCAAGAGATGCAAAAGGAGAGAGGTTAGCAAGCGCCAGGTCTTGAGGGCCTTGTGGGCCAAGCCCAGAACTTTTAGTTTTGTCCACAGAGCAAAGGGAAAACATCTGAAGGGGTGTTAGGGGTAGGCAGTGGCATGGTAAGAGTTCAGTTTGAGAAAAATCATCGAGCTGCAGTGTGGAGAAGGGAACGAGGCAGCCGCCAGGCCTGTGGGTCCTTTGCTGGCGTTGGTGTGTCTTGGCGGGAGGGCTGAGGAGGTCCCAGCCTATCTTCTGTGCTGCCCAAGGGGCCCCGGCTTCCTACACCTACTAGAACTCTGAGAAACTGCATCATCCTGAGTCTTCTTCCACCTTCTGTCTCCTTACCAAGCTCCCCTTCTCCTCCTAATGTCCAAATGCTGCTATCCCTCAGGGTTCACTCCTGGGCCCACCTCTCCTTTCACACAAGGCCATGCCATGCGTGCCCACAGCTTCATCCAGGGCCTAACTGCCACTGAATCACAAATACCAAGTTTTTCCTTAAACTGAGCTTCACAGGGAAGAACCATGGGCTTTTCTAAGCTGTGAAGTCCTTGAAGGCATCGCTGCATCCCCCTGACCTGTGCACAGTCGGCTCTTAAGAAATGTTTACCAGATAGGCCGGGCGCGGTGGCTCATGCCTCTAATCCCAGCACTTTGGGAGTTTGAGGCAGGCTGATCACGAGGTCAGGAGTTCGAGATCAGCCTGACCAACATGGTGAAACCTTGTCTTTACTAAAAAGAAAAAAATTAGCCGGGCATGGTGGCACGTGCCTGTAATCCCAGCTAAAAAGACAAAAATTAGCCTGGCATGATGGCACGTGCCTGAAATCCCAGCTACTCGGGAGGCTGAGGCAGGAGAATCGCTTGAACCCGGGAAGCAGAGGTTGCAGTGAGCTGAGATGGCTAGAGTTGGGCACACCCCACTATGCCCAACTTTTTTTTTTTGATGGAGTCTCACTCTGAGTTCCCTCAGGAGCTCCGAATCCCTCCCACTGTCTTCTCCGGAGACTTGATGGGAGCTAGCTCCTCCAGCTTCACCCACCCTCTCTCCTGAAGCCTGCCCCACAGCATTCACACCCGTCTATGGGTGAACATCCAAGGGGGTCAGAATCATCAGTGGGACAGCTGCTTAAGATGCAGATTCCTGGGGTCACTTTTTTTTTTTTAGATGGAGTTTTGATCTTGGCTCACTGCAACCTTTGCCACCCTGGTTCAAGCAATTCTCCTGCTTCAGCCTCCCAAGTAGCTGGGATTACAGGCATACGCCACCAGCCCCTGCTAATTTTTGTATTTTTAGCAGAGATGGGGTTTCACCCTGTTGGGCAGGCTGGTCTTGAACTCCTGACCTCAGGTGATCCCCCTGCCTCGGCCTCCCAAAGTGCCAGGATTAGAGGCATGAGCCACCATGGGGTTTCACCCTGTTGGGCAGGCTGGTCTTGAACTCCTGACCTCAGGTGATCCACCTGCCTCGGCCTCCCAAAGTGCCAGGATTAGAGGCATGAGCCACCATGCCCGGCCCTGGAGCCACTCTTAAACCCAGTATATCAGACTGTCTAGGGGTGTGTCTGGGAATATGCATTTTCAACATATTCCCAAGTGATTCTTAGGAATCTTAATGTTAGAAAATCACAGATTTAGTACCTGTCTTATTAAAAATGTTTTCCTGGCCAGGCACAGTAACTCACATTTGTAATCCCAGCACTCTGGGAGGCCAAGGCAGACAGATCGCTTGAGCCTGGGAGTTTGAGACCAGCCTGGGCAACATGGTGAAACCCTGTCTCTACAAAAAATAGCTGGGCATAGTGGGGTGTGCCTGTTGTCCCAGCTACTCAGGAGACTGAAGTCAGAGGATCAGTTGAGCCTGGGAGGTTGGGGCTGCAGTGAGCCGTGATTGCACCGCTGAACTTCAGCCTGGGTGACAGAGTAAGACCCTGTCTCAAAACAACAATGACAACAAAAACAGAACAAAAAGTCCTCCCTCAATCACACACTCCCTCCAGCTATATCTCTTTTCCTGCCCCCATTCGGATCCAAGTTCTTCCACAGTGGTGTCTCCACTTCCTTTCCATTCACCCTGATCCGGCACCTGTGACACGTTGCCAAATCCAATGGATAATTTTAGCCCTCCCCTTGCTTGATTTCTCAACCCTCTTTTATGAAATTCCATCCCTTTTTCCACCTTGGAACCTAGTGCCTTGACTCTGCACTCTCTCTCTTTTCCTCCCACCTTCAGGCTGCCCCTTGCCAGGTCCGCTGTCCTCTGCTTGCCCTCCAAATGCTGGGTTCCTGGGCCTGCTTCTCTTCTCACAGTGTCTGTGCTGTCCAGTCCCATGGCTTCACAGATAAGCCGAACCCCCATGCCTCATAGATCTGTGCATTGCCGGTCACACTGAAGACCCGCACACCCAGCTGCCTGCTCAATGTCTCCACTCACCATTTCATGAGCACCTCACGTCTGCTGTGCCCCAGACTGAACTGTCTTCCCTCAAACCTGCTCTGCCCATGGATCATCCCCATTTCAGCATCATTGGAATATCCAGGTGCTCAGGACAAAAACCATCCTTGGCTTTTCCTTTCCCTCAGCTTCTCACATCCACTGCACATACCAAGTCTTGTTGATTCTGGCCCCCAAGCCCAGGGGAAAATGTCCAGTCCACTTGCCTCCACCTTCACTGTACCACCTGGTCCAAGCGTCTAGCCTGGACTCGCACCTTCTGCTGGTCTCCCAGCCTCCATTCCTGCCCCGTGGTTTATCCTCCACACAGCAACCAGGTCAGTCTTATAACCTGAGAGTAAGCCACATCCTGTTCATGACAGCTTCCCTCACCCTTAAGACAAAATCCCACATCTCTAAAATCACACATGATCTGGCTTCTGCCTTCTCTCCTCTCCCTCCTGCACTTCCCATGCTCTGGCCATGCTTATAACCCTTTGGGTCCCTGAATGTGCACTTTCCTGTTTGTTTACCTTAGGGCTTTGTGCATAGCTTTTCCTGTTCCAGAATGTTCTTCTAGCCTTACCACTTTCAACTCTTACTCATCTTTGGAGCTCAAATCAATATTTGCTTACTCAGAAGCCTTCCTTGTCTCTGCCTCCCCAACTCCATGGAAGTCTGAGTTCCCTGTTGCTCTCCCTGAGCCCTTCACGGTTCTTGTTCCCAGCTCACTCCTCCACCTCCTTCGGGTCGTCTCATCCCTGGTTTACTCTTCTCCAATGCTGTTATTGCCATGCTACATATTGTATATTTTACATACATATTTTGTTAACTGTCTCACCACCACTACCACCACCCCCAAATGTAAGTTCCAGGAATGTGGGGATTTTTGTCTGTTTTGATCACAGCTGTTTCCTGGTGTCTAGAACAGTATCTGGTACACAAGAGACACACAAAAACTGCTTGCTGTTGGAATGAACAGTCCTTATAGTTTGTAATTCTATTGACTGGTGTCATGGTTTGTTTAACAGCTGCCAAGCTCACTTGACTATAAGCTGCATGGGGTGGGACCATGTATTTGTTGCTCATGATGACATCGTCAGGGCCCAGCATGATCCCTCGTGCCTCCTGCCTGGTAAAGGTTGGTGGGATGACAAATGAATGAGAGTGAGTAAGCAACGGCGTGAGGCGAGGTGAGCGAACGTCCTCTGTGCCTGTGGACCAAGCGGCGCCTCTGTAGCCGCCCTCTGCCCTCACTCAGTGCTCCCGGCCTCAGGGCTTCCTACCTTGTCATGCTCTTCATAATCCTTGGTGAAGCAGCTCTTCAGCCTCAAAGAGAGTTCCTGCAGCTGCACAATGGCGATGGCATTGGGGGTGTTGTCTCTGAAGCGCATGGTGTCCTCCATTATGTCTTGTACCAGGAGAAATGCCTTCTTAAGGTAGCACACCGGATCTTTCTGAAAAAACAGGAACCTGGGGCTTATAGCCTGGCCATTGTGGCCTGGGAACCCCCAACCCCAGGCAGATGGAGGGTTGCAGCTTGCTCTCCCCCTTCCCCCAGGGGAGGGACCACACCATGCCAGCAACGAGGAGAAAGCTGCCCTCAGCTTGCCTGTCTTTCTCTCTCTTTGGGATCTAGCACTATTGGAGACTGGGTTAGAGTGAAGGAAATGTGGATTCTGATTAGAGAGTTCTCTGGGTTTCTGGAATATGAGGTTTTAATCAGGATGGATGTACATAGGGAAGGTGGGCTCCAGGGAACCTCCCCCTGCCTTTCTTTCTGTCTTCCTCTTGGCTTGCTTTCACAAAAATCTTTTACCATATGGCCCCTTCAAATCCTCCAGGATATAGGGGGGGTGAAGACTATCTCATGGTACAAAGGATAACCTCTGTGTTTTGTCTCCCTAAAGAGATGGTAGTTGCCTTGAAGACCCACTCTGCTTTAGCTCCCTACCCCCAGCATCTAGTCCAGTAGGTTCCTAGCAAATGCTGATTCAGGCATGAATGCTAGAGCAAGCGAGTGAGTGAGGCTATAAAATACTGAGGCTATTCTTTGGACCATGAGGTGGTCTCCAGTACTAACAGAGGTGCATATGGGTCTGGTGTGTGGAAGCTCAGAGACAGGGGCAACTTCTGGATATCATGGCAGTTTTGCATGAGGCATAAAGATGAACAGATGTGGAACAGTGACTGGGGGAGCAGGTGGAAAGGCATGACAGTCATTGAGAAGAGCTTGTGCAAAGATGGGAGGCAGGAAGGAGCAGGGAATGGGGAGGCGGTGTACAGGTTTATGTGGTGGAGAATGGCTAGACCTGGTGTAACCCAGGCTAGACAACCTTGGCTTTCTTCTGGAGTGATGGGGCCCCTGATGGTTTTGGGAGAGTGAGGTAAAGGCAGCAGGTTGGCGTTTCAGAAAATTCCCCCTAGTGGTAAGATGAAGAGTGAACTAGAAGCAGGGAGACCAGTTAGGAGGCTCCTGAAATTGTCCAAGCAACTGATTGAGGGGTGAAGGTAGGGATGGAGGAGACAGAACCCAGAGATGCTGAGAGGCAGAACCAGCAGCACTTGGTGGCTTGCTGGGTGTGGGGCAAGTCCAGGAAGGGCTGGACTGCCTCCCTGCCTGCTGGTTGGCCTAGTGAAGAGAAGTGACATCCTTAAGCGAAGCATGTGACCTGGAAGTATTGATTTGCCTCAAGTCCTACAGCCAACCTTCCTGGATTCAAATCAGGCCTCTACCACCTAGTAGCTATGCTCCTTTCACCTCTCTGTGGATAATAAACAGTATTTGTGTACCACATAGTGGTACTGTCAGAACTAAATTAGCAAAGTGCTTGGCACCTAGTGAGCGTTTGTTATGTATCAAGCCAGGAGAAGGGAATGGCAGGGGACTTGAGCCCTGGATACTGGCACCCCAGAGTTGAGCACCCATGGATCCTCACACTCTCAACCTTTCCAGCTCTAGGCATTCTGCTGCCTTCATGCTCCCACACACACCCCACCCTGGGAGTTGCATGCAGACTGGTGCATGGATTTTGTAAACAGCCATCACTCACCAACTGTTCCTGGTCTACAAACTCAAAGGTAATTTGGCACGAGGTCTCCATCTGACTGTCAATCTGTAAGAGAGAGCAGGCCAATGATTGCAGGGCAACCTACAGCTCAACTCAGCCTTCTTCAGAACGGGGACCTTAGCTTCTGAATGCATTGGGGTTTGAACTTCATCCCTGCCAACCACATGTGGAAAGACAGAGTCAAGTCTAGGAGAAGATCAGTGCCTTCCATATGCCCAGGGGAAGGCTGTAGAAGAACAAGTCTTTTCCTTCCATCTGCCACCCCAGGAAATCTGACAAATGCCCATTTGTTTTAAGAAAGAAATGTCTATAGGAGAATATAGGATATAATCTTCCCTGGGAGGTAGTGAGCACCCTGTCAGGGCAGGAATTCAAGCAGAGGCTGGACAAGCTCTGGGGACTGAACATCTGTAGGCGTTGGAGCTGGATGCCCTTAAAGCCCTCTTTAGCCCCAGAGCAGCAGTTCTGGGTTTTAAGCCTCAGAGAATGCTGGGGCTCTTGGTCTACCTTGGATTGCTACAGCAACTACATGCAGGAGAAGTAGTGCTAGGGCAAGAGAGGCGGAAGGCACAGCCCACAGGCCCCAAGCTCAGGGCCCTGGAGCTGGCCTTAGCCAGTGATGCCCCACCCTGCCTAGCTGGCCAGAGGGATGGTAAATTCCCACTGAGCAGGATGGCAGCCATGACAGCAACCTGATTCTGCCTGGCTGGACCACGTATGGGCCTGATTAGAATGAGATACAGGCTCCTTCACGGCCTAGACGAGCAGGCCATCCCAGCCTCAGGGTATGGGCAAGAGCCAGGGAAGTGAGGGTGGAAGGCTGGGAGTTAAGTGAGCACTTCCCCTCCAAATCTGGGTGGGGCTCTGATGCCAGACTGGCGCCACACATGGGAGTCCAGGAGCTAGACGCAACATCTGGACACAGCAGGCTGCCTGGGCTAGCTTCCCAGAGGAGGCATCCCACTGAGGGACAGCAGACCTCAGAAGCCTTTTCAGAATCAGTGGTTGATATTCCCGGGCAATCACTAACCCAGGCAAGCAGCTGGAAGCCCACCCCATCCACTGCCTGCAGGGGAGTCAGAGAGGGCTTCAGAGCTGGGGAGACCAGAGGTCCTAACTTTGGGAAGGCTAGTGAAGGATATCACTGGTGGAGCTAGTGGGAACCACAAGCAATGTCCTGCACTGCCCTATTTTCCTGCCTGCAACTGCTCTCTTTGACCTGCTCCCTGGCTCCTGCCTCCACTTCCCCAGTGGGGAGAAGGTAGAATACAGCACGGCCACACACTCACCAGCCGCTGCAGAGACTGCAGGTGTCCACTCCCAATCATGTGGCTACAGTACTCCGACACCTCCTCGGTGATACTCCTGCTCGCCAGGAGACAGACCAACAACAGCAGGGAGCCCAGCCATGTCTGTGACAGAGAGGGTGTCATTTCTCCCCAGCCCTCACTCTCCCCAGTTATCCCCGTGCCCTGCTCACAGCAGAAAAACAAAGGCCTCAAACCTACAATGCTACAGGCTCTGCCCCTTACCTCAGGATACAGCATCCCTCAAATCCAGCTTTCCCAGGATTTCTAGCAGCCACAGCACAACCTTGTTCTACCATGAAAACAACCCAAATGTCACCTACAAGAAGCCTTCCCAGATTAAGCCAAACCTAACTACACATTGAACTAATAGTGACACAGATGGTGTGCCTACCAGTCTAAATTTTAATGACACAGGAAACTCGAGGGCAGGACTTGCATCTACCCATTTTTTCTGTCTCTGCAACATCAACACTGAGCCAAGCACTTTTTGAACTGCCCTCAAGTTCACGTTCATGCACCGGCTTTCAGATGGCAAGCCAGAGACAGCTCCCCTGGGCCCAGCACTTCCTCCCACCTGGTTCAATGCAGATCTGGCTCTGCCACTGGAAAGACTGTGGGATCAAACTCAGTTTCACTGGAACTCATCCCTTGCCAGAGACCTCTTGGAGCCCTGGGTATGTGTTTCAAAAGGAGCCCAACTGATTAATCAGAGGTACCAGTGCCAGTAATGGGCCATCTCTTGCCTGCCACCTGCCTATTTGAGCACCATCAGGCTTTGCCTCCAGCCAGCCACCTCTTATCATGGCAGAGAAGTTTTTTCTGAGATCCCTCTTCTCTCCCAGCACCCACCTGGCCCAGTAGCTGCTCAGCACCAGAGTGATGGGACTGGCTCCTGATGCCCTGTCTTTCCTCTTCCTTCCTCTCTTCCTTCTCTTCACTGAGGTCTCCTCATCCCTACCCTTGGCCCTAGGTCTCTCCTTCTTCAGCCAAAAGCAAAGGGACTCTTGGGCTTGCTTTCTCCAGCTTGAGGTCACCTCCTGAGAGCTCCTAAGCCTCCTGGCAGCTGATGCCCCCAGATTCAGGGAAATGCTGGCAGGGTAGGGTGAGGGTTGACACTATCCTGGACTCTGGGTTTTGCCTCAGTAATCCAGATGTTGAGACAAATACTGCAAATAAGTTGCTCACTGGAAAAACACAAGGAGGCTATGAAACAGCCCACAACAATGTGCTAATCTACATATCACCAAAAGCCCAGATGCTTGCCAGCTCTTATGGGGAGGAGAAGGCAGCTCTGGCTGGGTGACCAGGGAGACTGCAGAGAGGAGGGACCTCAGTGAGCCCTTGAAAGATGGGGAGAAGCTGATGGCAGGAGAGGGGTGGGAGGCATGGAAGGAAGAGGCAGAGGACAGTTTAATACCACTCAGCACAGGGACGGTGAGGGTCCTGGCCGATCTCAGGGAGGGAAAGTGTGGAAGAGGGGGCCTTGGAAGCACATGTGTGGCCGATGAGGAAGGTGCCCACGAGGGAGGGCACACACTCAGCGCACGTGACGACAGTCATGGGGGCTGGGGGGACTTCAAGCTCTGTTGGGGAGGTTGCCCTGGGTGGGAACAATGGCCCAGGTTCTCAGGAACCTTAGGTTCAAGAATGATTGGAGGAAACTGGGCCACTAGACGGTGTATCTACCCCAGGCTGGCTGCCACTCAAGGTCTGGAGTGAATGGTGCGTATGAAAGGGACCGCTCAGGACGACAACCTCCCTGGAGGAGAGCAAGGTGGGAGCAATGCTTAACCCCAAGGGCTGTCTGGCTTTGGTGATATTTCAGGCATCAGTGTGGGGAGAGTGCAGCCACCGCATGAGAGGCTGACTTCGAAGGTGGCCAAAGGGGATACCCCTGGACCTGGGGCCTCCATTCTGCCTCAGGAGGATCTGGACAGACAGTGGGGGGTTAACACTCTGGCTTGCATCTGGCTGCGCAGGCTCTCCTCTGACTGCCTCTTCCTCCCACTCCCAGCCCTGGCTTCTGCCTGGGGAGCAGCCCTCAGAAGGAATCTCTGCTGCAGGCTCAGAGATGCCAGGACACCTCCGTCCAGCTGTCCAGCCTCCTCTGCCACCTATCCTATTCCATTTCATCTTCCCCCTCAACAAGGCCTCTGGAGAGACCTGGCAGAACCGGGCCCTTGGATTTCCCCTGTCTAAACACAGCCTCCTTGTCTTCCTCTTCTTTCCTCATGGTCTCCCCTTCAGCCCTGAAGCTTTGCTTTCCTGCCTAAGGCTAACCCTTCTCCCTTCCCCTCTCAACCCTATCTCCTCTCTCTCAGTGGGGCACTTTCTTTCTGTGGACCCACTCTTCCCTTTCTCTCTCACCTCACCTGCAACCCTCTCTCCTCTACCCCCAAATAATTTTCTGCTCTTTCCCCCCCAGGTTTCCCCTCTCATTTTCTTCTAGGACTCCTCAGAAGCAAACCCATTATGAGCCCACTGACTGGTCATGAACAGTGCCGCCCTCACTTTCTACGGCTGCATCTGCTACTGCCACAGTTAGGGCAGGGCATCCCCTGCACAGTCAGGAGCAGACCCTGCCCCTGGATACAGCTCTGCAACACCAAACCCTCTTTCCATTTTCCTCAAGCACTGCAAACCACCATAAACCACCACAAAGCCCAGAATCTCCCCAACCGATGAAACCAGAATTTGCAAGAAAAAGAGATTGTGAGCTAGCCCCAAGCAGCCCCAGCGAGGGGCTGTTTGTCAGCTGTTGCCGTCCCCCCACCCCACATCCCCTGCCCCCGCCTCCCCCCAAACAGCCACCCAAGTCCTCCGCAGCTCCTGCCTGTGGGCTGGAACAAGCAGTGGCTTGCCCCTCTCCGTCCCTCTGCCAGCAAGGCCCTGGCGTTCTATAAGCTGGTTGACCTCCTGAACTTTCCCTGCCCAGAAGCGCCCATTCCCCTGCAGGGCCTTGGAAGCACGTATGTGGCCGATGAGGAAGGTGCCCACGGGGGAGGGCACACACTCAGCGCACAGCCACTCTGCCCGTGCCTTGGTGGTGGCGGGTACGGAGAGAGGCAGGGCACCCTGGCTGAGCTGGGGCTCGTGCCTGCAGGTGGCTCAGTGTTCCCCTCCGTGCAATGGGGTGAGCAGCCCTCCGTTTCCCAGGGAAGCCTGGCAGTCGGGGTGCAGCTGCAGGGCCGCCACCGGCCTCCGCCCTGGCGCCAGGGGCCCAGTCGGTGCGCAAAGGCGGTTGGTCCGCGGCGGGAACGCCAGGCCAGTGCAGCCTGCGCGCCCAGGCTGTCGGCTCCGACTGGCAGCTCCCGGCCGCCCGGCCGCCTGGCCGCCGAGCCCCCGTCCCAGCCTGTCCCGGGCCCCGCGCCGCGGCCGCCGCTTACCGTGGGAGGGCAGCGCCCGGCGGCGCCCGGCGCGGTCATACGGGCAGCTGGGTCCCGGCCGGGCGCGTCGGCCGCCCTCGCTTACTCGCTCGCTCGCTGGCCGCTGCGGAGTGGGCGCCCCGGCCGAGGGCCGCGCCGCTGTCCCGGGATGCGGAGAGCGGCTCTGGCGCCGAGAGGACCCAGGCAAACTTTCACTTTCCCCGGGCCGAGCCTCACTGGCCAGCTCTCGGCACAGCCTTTTGAGAGGACTGTGGGGGCATGTGGTTTATGGGAAATCACCCTGGCCAGGCGCCAGACACACACATACACACACACACACACACGCGCGCGCACTGACACAGACACACACACTCCAGAGGCCCACTCAGCCGCCTCCCCCGCCTCCCCCCCCCCCCCCCCCCCCCCCGCCGGCCGGCCGGCCCCGCTCGCGCGTCTTCCCAGTCACCCTCTGTCTTCTGCGCTGCACTTCCAAGCCTTCAGCAAAGGAGCGCGGGCTCCACCGCGTCCCCACCCCGCCTTCCCCGCGCCCTCTGCGGACCGACCCTTTCCTTCCGCGCTCTCCAGACTGATCCGGTGCTAGCGCTCTTTCTATGATCTTCCCAAGGGACTTTCCCTCCAGGCCTGAAAATCCCCAAATCTTAGCAGAAAACGGACCAAGAGCAGGGACAAGCACTGGGAAGGGAGGAAAATCCTTTGAAGACGCCCCCACCCCATTCTCGGAGTGCCGAAAGGAGTCCAGTGTTACTTGCTCCCTCGTGGAGCCTGAGTCAGCAGGTTTGCCGGCAGCCCCCTTCTTCCTCTGCAGTCCCAAGCAGCCCGCCCAGCCTCAAGTCCCATTATGGGAGGGATGCCAGCTACCTGACCAGGAAGGGAGCAGCTGTGTCCTACGACAGCAAGCTGGGGGGCTGTTCCCTGGGTGCCAGCAGACACTTCAGGGCACCTGACCCTTAGATGATGAAAATGCTGGCTGGTACCCATGCTCTCTCCTGGAGGCAAAATCCAGCTCAGATTGGAAAGGTCCTGCACCTAGACCCTAGATTTCCCTGGATGTTTTCGGAAATTGCACTTACTGAGGTGATTAATCACGTTTTGTTTCTATATGAGAATGAATCTAAGTGAGGACTAGTAGGATGAGCCTGAGCCTAAACCTATTAATTATAATGCCAACTTCAGGGGCTTTTTCTTTCTTCAATTCATTATGATTCAATTCCTCTGTGAGGCTGCCCATTTCCACCCCCTGGGAAATAAAGGATATGTGGCCTGCTCTTGAAGAGGAGTCTCTTGTCAGTTGCACTACATATCCCTCACTGCAGTCCTAGGCAATAATTTTACACCTGAATGCCTTTGCTCAGACTGGTCCCTCTGCTTGGAATGCTCCTTTCTCCACATGGCTGAAGACAAACTCCTCATTTCAGGCTGAAATCGCATCTCATCCTCCACCAGCAAAGCCTTCTGTGACTCTCCCAGCAGAGCAAAGGGTCCTTTTCTTGTGTTCCCACTGGACTTGGCTCATTCCTCAGTGCTGGCTCTGATAAGTCGTTTGCCATCCATTCATTCTCCACAGTACTTTTTGAAGTGTGTAAGGTGGTACCGATGGTTACATTCTGTCCCCACCCTAGACTGAGGCTTCCTCCAGGTGGCACCCATGCTCAGTCACCTCTGGATCAATGGTACCTAGCACATAATGGGTACCCAGTTAATGATGGTTGAGTTGAATTAGGCCATTAGAGAATACTTTGTTCTTTTGACAAATATGTGCTACTAGATGCTAGGCACTGTGCTGGGCCCTGGGGATACACCAATGACATGGTCACTGTACAATAATGATTTAAGATAACAAGTTGACACTACAGTTCTTAAGACTGATAAAAAATTAGAGGAAGTAACCTGAGAAAGATAAACCAACAGACTTGTTGAGAATGGGGTCCAGTTTTACTTGCTCCCTCCTTCACCAACCCAGCCCTGGCCCAGGTTCACTGAGGCTGGCATTTGGACTTTGCTCAGCTTCTGGAGGAGCGTAATCATTCTCCATGTTGGTGCAAGGCTTGAGGTCCTCATTCCCCAAACTGAAGTTCTTTACATACCCTAGTTTGAACCTGACTCCACTACTTACAAGTGATTTGACCTTGGTAGCTCTGCCAAGTTATTTGCTGTGTGACATTGGACAAACTTCTCTCAGTTCCCTTGTCTATAAAACAGAGATGTTAATTTCTCTCTCTGAACTAAGGTGTTATGAGTATGGAATGAGATAAGGCCTGTGAAGTATTTAGCACAGGGCCTGAAGACAGTAAGTGCTATTGTTACTATTATCTGTTCACTCACATGGGTTCTAAAGCAATGACACTGCAATGGTGCAGTGGACTTGGGAGTCCCAAGGTCAGATTTTAGTTCCAGCTCTGCCATTCATTTGCTGTGTAACTTTGGACAAACTCCTTAGCTTTTTGAGCCTCTCTTTCCTCATTTGTACAGTGGCAATTTTAAGACTTTCCCCAAGGAGTGGTCATGAGGTCAAATGGGTCATATGGGAGTCCCTAGGGCAATGCACAACACACAGTAGGGGTTCAGTGATGAAAGCTCTTTGGACATGTGGGCTGTGGGGCTCTGGGAGGCTCTGCCAGAGAGAGTTGCAGAGGGATGAGCAAGGTCCTTGATAACCATGACTCCACAGTGGGACTTGCAGCTGTCTCTTCTCTGTTACCTTAAAAGAAGGGATTGTGGATCTGCTTGATGTGGACATGTTTTGTCACCAGACACAGGGAAATTGAGGCTGGAAAAGCTGATGGCTAGCCTCAAGTGACTCACCTGAGTCTCCTCCACTTGCTCCTGCCCTGGAACTGATGTTCTTCCCTCCACCCTCCGCAAGCCCCCCAGCCCCAGTGCGTCTGCCTGGCTGGCTGGGAGACTTGTGGCTGGCAGGTCCTGCCTGCATCTTAGGGCCAAGTCAGCAGGATGGTGTCCGTCTGCACATGGTGTCTTAGTTCTTCACATCCATGCAAGCTGTTTGTACCCATCCATGGGCAAGGAGTGCTGGTACCACAGAAAGAGATTTTTCACCCCATGTTGCCTCGGATGAAAAATGGAGGCCCAGACAGGATAAGCCTCCTTCTCCAGAGTCACACATGAATGATGAGTTGAGGGCGGGGACCTCCAGAGTGAGTCCTGGAGTAAGAGGACTCAGCTTTGCATGCTTACCTTGGTCAGCTTAGCTGCTGGCCTCCCTGCTGACTACCAGTGAAGTCATGTCCCAGGCCAGGTTCTGGGACAGGTATAGGGGAATTGGAAGCATCCGAGATTTGGGGTTTTGACGATTTCCTAATGTAGCATCATCAAGGAAGCAGAGCTCAGCTGACTCCAGAAGAGAGTAGAAGGGAGCATGGGAGAGATGCTATTTGTCAGAGGAATGAACCACTGGAGGGAGGTGAGAGATTGAACAGAGGGAAATGGAGATGGATGGCAGGAAGTGGGAGGAAACCCTCATTTGCTGGTTGTCCAAATGTCATTTCCTTGAAACTATTTGACAGCCAATTTCCTCTTGAAATCTCTTCTAGGGAATGGCCTTCTATCACAAAGAGCTTTCTTTCTTCCTTTCTGTTTCTCTTTTCTTTCTTTCTCCCTTTATTCATGCATCCCTCCATTCCTCCTCCCTTTCTTCTTTTTTCTTTCCTACTTTTCTTTTGTTTGTTCTCCCTTTCATTCTTCATTTCTTTCTCTTTCTCTTTTCTTTCTTTTTTCTATTCCTTCTCTCTTCCTTTCTTTCTCCCTTCCTTTTCTCCTTCCTTCCCACCTTTCTTTCTTCCACCTAAATGGCTCTGTGGCTCTTTAGAAAGTCAACTGGGGGTGGACAGCAGCTACCTTGGAAGCTGGGGCTGCAAAGAAAATGCTGCTTTCTTGTCCCAGTGCTACAGAAAGGGCCAGAATGTAGGACTCCTGGCTGACCAGATTTGGGAGCAGGACGTCAGAGCCAGAGCGTCCCATCTCCCAGCCATGCACCTATGTCCTTTGTACTGCAGCCTGCCCTTTCAGTTATGTCTTCTCCCACTTTCAAGATGAGGGGCAGCATGAAGGTTGGTAAAGCAGCCACCAGGGAAGGATCTTGGACAGAATGTCCTTGTCAATTAAATGGGAACAGCAGCTCCCACCTGCCAGCTTCCTAGGGCTGCTGTGAAGCCTTTGTGTTTGGCAAACTACCGAGAGCCAATCTTTGGTACTTTGGAACTATTGATACTTGTTGAGACCACGCCATCCTATGGCTGGGGGAAAGTCAGCTGTCCCCCTTGTCCCAGAGCCACAGAAATACGTGCTGGCTTCAGGACTTGTGCCACCCACAAAGGGCAAGCACTACTGCAATGCAAGACTGTATCAGCAGCCTGTCCACTTTCCTCTCCTGGAGCTTCCTGCCACAACCAGGCCCGGCACTGTCTCCTGGACCTCAGCAGGACCGATTCTTAGGTTGCTCTCATGAACCCCTCAGAACTGAAAAATCTAACCCAGAAATTGATAAGCAATTTATCCACAGTGAATTCTGACTTCCCAAGTGGCCTCCCTACCCCCTAAAGTCACAACCCCTCAGCTGAGGACCCTTCTAGAATGAAAGTTTCCAACCTTCATCGGAAAAAGAGAATCATGAAAAGGATGATGTGTCAGCTGGTGCCCAAGCATCACAGCAAGCTCACTTCCTATCCTGGCCCTATGTGACTTCAGAGTAAATGAGGCAGAGAATTACCTAGAAACAGGAAGTGAGAACCTACACCATCTGTAGTCATCTGTTAGTACAATAAACATTTTTAGTGCCTGCTGCATGCCTGGCCTGTGCTTGTCCACACTTTGTTGAATTACATGGCCTCCCTCCTCACAGACTGCCAGGGACACACACATCAAGGGGTATGAGTATGACAATGAAGAAATGTTCCAGTGCCCCAAAGGCCCAAAGTGGTTTGGCTTCAGAAGTCACTTGAAGGAAATCAGAAACCTGGAGTAGAGAAGAGATTGGGAATTAGAAGAAATCAGGTCCTAGATACAGCCAGAGAGATAGACCCCTCTATTCCACTTACGTGATTTAAGGTTGCTCCTTGTCTTGGTTCTCTATGTTGGTTTGCCCAGTGCCAACTGGGAAGTCCAAGGTGATGCTTGGATGCCTGTGTGGAGGCCAGGCTGGGCAGAGATGGGGGAGGCCCAGAGCAGGAGAGTAAGTGGGGAGAGGACACCTTCCTAAGGTTGCCCTGTGTGAAGGGAGGAAAGTCATGGGTGACTCCAAATACAACAAGCAATACTCACTCATTTCTGTGGCTGCCGTGAGCCCTGGGCCGGGGGCCCAGCCCAGCCCAGTCCCCGGTCCTCCAGCCAGAAGACAAGTGCCCTTTCCATTGGCTGCTGCTAGGCACTTCTCCCTGGGGGAAGGAAAAGTCTCACAGCCCTCACAAGTGGAATGTGGCGAGTAAGAGCATTAGCTCTGTAACCCAACTGCTTG